ATGATGAGTGGTGTATGATGAGTGGTGGTTGAACAGCTGTTGAATGTCCGTAACACGGAAGTTTTGCACACTAAACTTCCTTTGATAACTGGATTAATTAGGACACCGTTGTAGATTTAGCTAACGTTTTGGCTTCAGAGTGGTTTGCAAAGACCGGTTACTCGACTTTAACGGTTCGTGCCAGCAGACCTAGATTTTCAGCGCTGAAGAAAAAAGGCCGACCGCACAAATCTAGACTCCTGTAAAACGCAAGTAGGACGCACAAGAATCCACGTGTCTGATACCCCTGCCGACCTGTGTTGTTGGCAGAGTCTGTTTGGCAAGGATAAGTTTACTTTGAGATCAGAAAAGAAAACCCACACCTTTGTGTCTATTTGGGCCAGGTCTTGTGCGGGCGGGTCTGCGCCACTTTGAATTAAATTTGTCTTCACACGAATTGAGGATGTGATCCGAAGTCTGGATTCCTACGGGCTTCCGCTGAAAGTTGGTGTCTCGCCTTGCATGACGACCCTGTCCGTGGGGTCTTGACTGCCTTGACTGAGGCAGCCCTCAGATTCCAGTACACCTTGCTGGTGAGATCAGATTGTCAGTGTCCGCTTCACCAGGGCAATCATTCTTTGTTGATTGTAGTCGAGCATTCAATTCTTGAACACCCACAGATTCAACATTCAGGTTGTTGAGACAGTTAGAATGAGTTGTTGGAACGTTTATACCAGTTGAAACTGAAAGTCTCTTGAGTATCGTGGTGAGGCATCTACACCTTGGCCTTTATTTTTGAGAAACTGACCTTGCAGGGCTCTCAGACGGGGCAAGGCGAGAGAAAATAGGACTATAGCTTTTGCCGATTTAGCGGGTGCACATCACATTGGTTCCGTGATCAGTCAATGACACATTCTTTCAGGCATCTTTTTCGGGCATGCTGGGCATGAATGAAGAACTGCCAACTCTCCCCAGCAACATATTATATATATATACATATCCTAATGCACTTTGTATCAGTTATACATAGATAAGAATCAACAATGACCGTCGCGGAAAGAGATGTTCGGGGAGCATACTTCTCAGCCGCTCTATGGTTTTGGGTCTATTTGCAAGTCCATGCAACAACCAAACTGATAACCTACCTTACTCCAGCTCATTCCTCCTCATGGTTTGATTGAATGTGAGGATCTCGGAGATTTTGCCGGTGCAAGTGGCGCTGAAGACCATGAGCCCCGTGGTCTTCGGCGGGCTCATCCCGGGTGCCTTAATCTCCGCCACCTGCGAAACAGTCGGAGCCACCGCGGCTTGGCCTGCTTTTACGGGTCCAGTTGGAAGCCTTGCTCTTGGAGATTCCTTTCATGTTGAATCCAATCAATTACAGAGGTGGTTTCAGATCTGTTCGTTCTTCTGCAAGAATTTTAGTTTGGACTTTGGGGCCGAAACTAATTAAGCACTTGCCTGACTTGGAGTTGCTCACTTGTGGCACAACCCACTCACGAGTCACATAGTGTGGGCAGTGGGGGAATCGATTGAGGACAACCTGTACCCATACTGGTAGTGCTTCCTTCTCCAGAAGCTTTGCCTCGCGTCATAGTGTATGCAGTGGCTGGGAGCATCTGAGCTCTGAAGGTTTTTGAGTATCCAGCGCATCTATATATCTACCTCTATGCCTACCACCCATCTATCCAGTCGCTGATAATTTCAATGAATGGCCAATTTCAGAGATGGTGCAGAGGTGTAGGAAATTATATCCTTGGATCCGGCAAACCTTCCACACATTTTCCCTTGCCTGCAAATAAATGCAGGGGAGCTCCCGTTCTCTCCCAAACTGCTTTGCCATGGAGTTGCTGCCAAGGTCAACTTTTTCATTGGCCGCACGTTCTTCTTTCAGCGCTCTTCAGCAAAATTGCTTGGTGAACGGGTACACGGGTAACACATTACTGTACATAACAGTTGATCTCTTGGAAGTCAGTCGTTTGGTTTGTTGCTAGCCTGTAGGACTTCGGGCATTCGCTCGCATCACATAGCCAAGATAGGTTTGATATGAAGAACACGTCTCCTAAAGTCGGGTTGGATGCCAACACTCCCTTCAAAAACGGATGTTTGGACACACCACTCTCATTGGGACGCCTCTACAAAGTCTCAAGACCCTCAACAGTTTGGTATTGTTGCGGGTGGACTCTGGACCATGAACATGCTGAAAAGGCTAGTTGTACATCAGTGCGGGCTTCTTGAATCTTCTTGATAGGTTTGTGCTAGAATGTACCATTGTCCAAACAGACAGTAGGCAGACGTGGGACCATCACGAGTTCTCAGATATATATAATGAAAACAGAATCTCCACAGCGTCACGCCATTATGCAGCACGTATACTGTAATGTTTTCGATGAACTTGCGGTTTTACCAATTCGTTTTCCTCCTCTGAGGTGTCCGTGAATTTCAACTTCCCGGGGAGCCTCCATTGGGTGATGCTCCGTGGTTTTCTAGGTGCGGCTCCAAGAAGAAGGCCTCTTTGTTCAGCATTCCATTCCGGGCGATGTGGAAGTGCTGCATCTGCAAGGCCCCTGCAAGGCTCCTGACAAGTACATCAGCACTTTCTCCCAAGCCTCAAGCACCACCTTGAGAAACATCACTGTGTCAGAACGTTATGGCCAACTTCCGGAAGCTTTGCTTTCTTTTGTTCACGAAGCGTTGCTTTTGTGGTTTGGGATGTGCAAACAGTTAATGATGGAAGCAGAGTGGGAACAAGCAAAACGAGTGAACCATCTACCTAGTCACAGTCCCTAATTTAAGCCGGCCATACAGCTGCCGCACAGCCATGTCAAGCAGCCGTGTATCAGATGCCAATGGACCTCGGGGAGATGGGACACTGATTTCTGACCGAATCCGTCGTTTTTGCATTGATCTGAAGATGGATGATTTCATGAGTTGCCATCAACCTTTAGCCATCTCTTCAAGGTACCGTCTTAAGTCTCAATGATCGAAATGTATTGTATTGTCAAAAAACAAACAATAGGCTTTAAGGAACAGACTTTAAAAGGAGCCTCATAGCACTGGCCTCCAACCTACTGCCCCCACCCTAATATCGATGGCCTCACCCAAATAGCGATGTCAATGTATTGTCAATGTAGTGCATTGTCCTAAAAGGCTCTGAACAATCCCCAGGCCTTACTGGATGTTTCACGGTTCCCTGCTCGACAGGTTGGAACGAGCTGCAGAGAATGAGGGTTTGAAGATGACCTTACTGCCGCCTGGGCTTGCAGACAGCCAAGACACCACATGTTCGCAAGAGGGACCTGTGCCAACCAAACATCACATTTGCCTTTTTGCCAACAGTGGAGTTGATTAGTGGAGGGTCACCAAACTAGTTTGCAACAGGTGCCAATTTGCCAAGCTCAGTCGCTACTTTGACTGACGGGAATGCATGAATTTTGATCCTTGCTATTCCTGACTGATTGGCAAATGGGCCAGATTTCAACTAGAATCAAGGGTGTGCAGCTCCGCCGCGGAGATGGATTGAGCCAAGTTATATGGTGAAGAGGTTTCAAATCCTCTGACTGCGGATCATTTGAGACCTGAACTTAGGCTCCGAGTAGCGATGCCCTTTGCTCCTAGTCGTCCTTGTTACTAGTAGTAAGGCCAGGAGCCCCTAGTAGCGTCTTTGCTCCTAGTAGCGATGCCAGGAGCCTCTAGTAGCGTCCTTGTTACTATACTTTGAGACCTGAACTTAGGCTCCGGTTGTCTCATATCCTTCCAGTACCCTTTGACTCCTACTGGTACATCATGGGTGCCTTGCCCGTAGGCAGGGTGGATTCAATATTCCTTGGCCTTGCTTTGTGAGTATAGTTAATAATGATAGGGACTTCGCGCGCGCACACACTTATGATTGGGTGTACTGAACTGAAAGCGGTGCCACACGCCAGCCTAAGTTTAAAAAAACCTGAGGTGCCAGGGTAAATAGTAGGTTAAAGGCCAACGCTTTTGGGTTAGAGGCTATCGCAAGGCCGTTGGGGGATAAGGTTGGAGGCCGTCGCTAGTAGGTGGTAGGTAGTAGACACAAGCAAACCAAAGCAAAACAAAGTGACAGCAAGAAGCAAAGTTGGAGGTCGTCGCTAGTGGGCTGGAGGCCAGGGTACCAAGTTGGAGGCCAGTGCTACCAGGTTACAAGAAACACAAGAAGCACAAGAAACACAAGACACACAAGACAGCCAAGGTTGGGGGGCCAATTCTAGTGGGTAGAAGCCAAAGTTCGGGTTAAAGATCCCATTACACAGTTAGGAGGCCTACCTGCAAACCTATAGAAGAGACTAGAGGAAAACAGAAAGAAAGGCACCGACACACAAGTGTGTCGAGTACTATGTTTTCCTAAATGGCAAAGCAGGTACACAGTGGGGCGTCCCCCACTGCATCAGCACCTACTGGCATCCTCTTCGTTGGACGGGAAATGGCAGTGGTGTCCCGTCCCCCTGCTCCAAGCCCAAGAAGGGTCCCCTGTGATTCCAAGGGTTACACACACACACACACACACACACACGCCTCCCCAAAGGGCCAGGGTGCCAAGTTGGAGGCCAATGCTACCAGGCTACAAGAAACACAAGAAATTCTGGTGGGTAGAGGCCAAAGTTCGGGTTAAAGATCCCATTACAAAGTTAGGAGGCCTACCTGCAAACCTATAGAAGAGACTAGAGGAAAACAGAAAGAAAGGCACCGACACACAAGTGTGTCCAGCACCATGTTTTCCTAAATAGCAAAGCAGGCACACAGTGGGGCGTCCCCCACCGCATCAGCACCTACTGGCATCCTCTTCGTTGGACGGGAAATGCCAGTGGTGTCCCGTCCCCCTGCTCCAAACCACAATAGATCTTTTTTGCTTCCGGCCACGGCCACGGCCACGGCCACCGCCACGGCCACGGCCATGGCCACAGCTGCCGGCCACGGCCAGCCGGCCACGGCCAGCCGGCACGGCCACGCCCAGCCGGCCACAGTGAGCCGGCCACGGCCATCCGGGGCCGAATACCGAACTCAAGAAGGAGGAGCAAAGGAAGAAGAAGAAGAAGAAGAAGAAGAAGCCGCGCAAAAAGAACAGCGGCAGCAGCAACGGAAGAAGCACCAGCAAAGTCATAAGCAGAAGATGCAGCAGAAACTAGGCGACAGGGTGGCCCGAAAGCACAGCAGGTGAGGAAATAATGTCATGAGGAGGATGAATGTGATCAGGAGGGGGGTGAAAACACTGCGCAGACAATGTGAGGAACTCACGCTTTTTTCTCCATGCAGTTCGCGCGCTATGCACGCGAGGAGTAAATCATGCTCATCGCTGCTACTGCTTGAAAGCTCGCTACGCTGCTGCCCCTCCTGCCATGATCATTTCTTCCCACGTAGATTTCAGTCATGATCATCGCTGCTTGAACGCCGTGGATGTTTAATTGCAGAACCGTGATTGCGCCACCGTGGTCGCGCTTGTGTTGCGCAGGATAGAAGCTGAATTTCCTCGCGCCTTGATGGTGCAAAAAGCGAAGAAAAGCTTTCACATAGACATTGCTTGCAATCATTGTGGCAAAGGCTTCCAGAACATCGTCCCCAAGGTCACGATCTGTAATCCCGCATACAACAGAATTCAGCGTAGGTTGTTGTTGAACTTGTTCCACGCGCGCCAGACGTCGAAGCCCGCGCTGGTACTTGTGTTAAATCGACGGGCAAATTGGGTATACGCGGAAGGTGGCTGGCGGCCAAACTCGTCACGAGCCACGGTTGAGTAAATCACAAGCATCCTTTCCCGCAGGCAAGCGTCAAAGATTCCAAGTACACACAGAACGTCCGATGCATCTAGACGCTGGATACATTTCCTGTTCGCATGGGGTGCAGCCGCAAATGCCGACCCTGCTCGCAGCAGAGCGATGTTTAACTACCTTCAGATATGCGACAGCCATTTCCAGCGCAACGCACGCATTGAGTTTGCCGGGCAACGCATGCAAAGCCATGCCATCCGAGTTTGCAAGCGCAGACACTTTGTGGAGGGGTGTAGCTTACAAAACCAATATTGCAGAATTGTAGCTGGCATCAGCCAGCTACCCTCGATGTGGAAAAGTTCTTCTCAAGAACGCCTTTTTCCACCTCACTGAAGTTTGTTAGTACACTGTGACTTACCGCCCCGTGCAGCGATAGCTCTTTGCCAGTCTACAAATCCGCAACATAGGGACGCTTCACATTCCAAAAGGATATACTCAAAGAGTAAGTCTACACAGCGTCTGGATTCACGCGACATGTCCTGCACCTCTAAATCGGCATCGCAAAGTAACGCAAAGACCCGCCAGGAAGCACCCACTCACCGTAGAGCGTGTCTCTGTTAAGGACTCAACGCTTGCAGTGACATAGATCAGCCTGACTTCTAGTAGTAAACACAAGCCTTTTCTGCTTCTCTACACTCGCCGCTGTCGCTGCTGGCACAGAATGCAAACTTTTGAGAAAGAACTTCATCTCGTCATCCTGTTTGAGCGATTACACTTCGCCCACGTGTATGCAAACTCGTCTTGCTCTTCCTTTTCCCCTTTTGCAGCAACCGCCGTAGAAGCTATGGCCGGACGCAGTTTGTGGGGTACCGGCCATGGCCACCTGGCCATATAGCCAGTAGGTCACGACCATTCAGCCACGACAAGCTGGCCCGAAAGCACAGCAGGTGAGGAAATAATGTCATGAGGAGGATGAATGTGATCAGGCGGGGGTGAAAACACTGCGCAGACATGCGCAGACAATGTGAGGAACTCGCGCTTTTTCTCCACGCAGTTCGCGCGCTATGCATGCGAGGAGGAAATCATGATCATCGCTGCTACTGCTTGAAAGCTCGCTACGCTGCTGCCCCTGCTGCCATGATCATTTCTTTCCACGTAGATTTCAGTCATGATCATCGCTGCTTGAACGCCGTGGATGTTTAATTGCAGAATCGTGATTGCGCCTTCGTGATCGCGCTCGTGTTGCGTAGGGCAGAAGCTGAGTTTCCACGTGCCAGTACACTGTGACTTACCGCCCCGCGCAGCGATAGCTCGTTGCAAGTCTACAAAACTCCGGAACATAGGGACGCTTCACATTCCAAAAGGATATACTCAAAGAGTAAGTTTACACGGCGTCTGGATTCACGCGAAATGTCCTACATCTCTAAATCGGCATCGCAAAGTAACGCAAAGACCCGCCAGGAAGCACCCACTCACCGTAGAGCGTGTCTCTGTTAAGGGCTCAACGCTTGCAGTGACACAGATCAGCCTGACTTCTAGTAGTAAGCGCAAGCCTTGTCTGCTTCTCTACACTCGCAGCTGTCGCTGCTGGCACAGAATGCAAACTTTTGAGAAAGAACTTCATTTCGTCATCCTGTTTGAGCGATTACACTTCGCCCACGTGTATGCAAACTCGTCTTGCTCTTCCTTTTCCCTTTTGCAGCAACCGCCGTAGAAGCTATGGCCGGATGCGGTTTGTGGGGTTCCGGCCATGGCCACCCGGCCATATAGCCAGTAGGTCACGACCGTTCAGCCACGACAAGCTGGCCCGAAAGCACAGCAGGCGAGGAAATAATGTCATGAGGAGGATGAATGTGATCAGGAGGGGGGTGAAAACACTGCGCAGACAATGTGAGGAACTCACGCTTTTTTCTCCACGCAGTTCGCGCGCTATGCATGCGAGGAGTGTGTCCGTGGCCGGATGGCCGTGGCCGTGGCCGTGGCCGGATGGGCGTGGCTGTGGCCATGGCCGGATGGGCGTGGCCGCGGCCGGATGGCCACGGACGTCGGATGGCTGTGTGGCCGTGGCCGTGGCCGTGGCCGGACGGTCGTGACCTATACTGGCTGTATGGCCGGAAGGTCATGGCTAGAACCCACCAGTCGCATCCGGCCATAGCTTCTATGGTGGTTGCTGCAAAGAGGAGAAGGAAGAGCAAGACGAGTTTGCATACACGCGGACGCAGTGTAATCGATCCATGTGCTCAAACAAGGTGACAGGGATGAAGTTCTTTTTCAAAAGTTTGCATTCTGCATCAGAAGCGACAGCTGCGAATGCAGAAGTAAAATAAGCTTGCCTCTACTACTAGATAGCTGAAAGTCAGGCTGACCTATGTCACTGCAAGCATTGAGTCCATAACAGAGACACGCTCTACAGTGAGTGGTTGCTTTCTGGCGGGTCTTTGCGTTACTTTGCGATGCAGATTTAGAGATGTAGGACATGTCTCGTGAATCCAGACGCTGTGTAAACTTACTCTTTGAGTATATCCTTTTGGAATGTGAAGCGTCCCTATGTTGCGGAGCTTTGTAGACTGGCAACGAGCTATCGCTGCGCGGGGCGGTAAGTCACAGTGTACCGACAAACTTCAGTGAAATGAAAAATGCGTTACTGAGAAGAACTTTTCCACATCCAGGGTAGCTGGCTGATGTCAGCTACAATTCTGCAATATTAGTTTTGCGAGCTACACCCCTCCACAAGTTTCTGCGCTAGCAAACTCGAATGGCACGGCTTGGCGTGCTTTGCGTGGCAAACTCAATGCGTGCGTTGCGCTGGAAATGTCTGTCGCATGTCTGAAGGTAATCAAACATCGCTCTGCTGCGCGACCACAGCAGGGTCGTCATTTGCGGCTGCACCCCGCGCGACCAGGAAATGCCTCCAGCGTGTAGACGCATCGGATGTTCTGTGTGTCTTTGGAATCTTTGATGCTTGGGCGCGGCAAAGGAAGCTTTGGGTTTACTCAATCGTGAGGTCCATTGCAATTGTGGCTGGCGACGAGTTTGGCCCTCAGTCACCTTTTTTGTACAAACACGGGCTTCGCCGTCTGGCGCGTGTGGAACAAGTTCAACAACAACCTACGCTGAATTCTGTTGTATGCGGGATTACAGATCGTGACCTTGGGGACGATGTTCTGGAAGCTTTTGCCACCATGAACGCAAGCAATGTCTATGCGAATTTTCGTCGCTTTTTGCACCATCTAGGCACGTGGAAATTCAGCTTCTATCCTGCGCAACACGAGCGCGATCACGGTGACGCAATCACGATTCTGCAATTAATTAAACATCCACGGCGTTCAAGCAGCGATGATCATGACTGAAATCTACGTGGAAAGAAATGATCATGGCAGCAGGGGCAGCAGCGTAGCGAGCTTTTCAAGCAGTAGCAGCGATGATCATGATTTAGCCACCCGGCCACGGCCACGGCCATCCGGCCACGGCCACGGCCATCCGGCCACGGACACAGCCACCCGGCCGGCCACGGCCATCCGGCCACGGCCACGGCCACGCACGAAAAAAGTCATCCTCGCTCCAAACCCAAGAAGGGTTCCCTGTGATTCCAAGGGTTACACACACACAGAGGTTTTTCTTCGATTAGTTGCACGATTTTGAACGTGTGGTGGTGGTGGCGGTGGTGGCTCTATGAAACTGGGAATGAAGGGTGTGTATTCACTCCAACACTCTTGTCAGATGTCAAGGATACATTGTACCGTGATGGGGGAGCCTTGTTTGAGCTCAGAATCAGGAAGTTGAGCGGAACAGGGTGTTTTTTTCCCGATCCAAGAACTTCGAGAACGAGGAAGAACCTTTGTGCCATCAAAGTGGTGAGAATCCATTCATCATTCATCATCATTCCATTTGACGCTGGACATAGACTTCCGTATATTCTTCTCACGCTTCGTGGCTTTGGGCCTCACAGATGCAGGTGTGGTGGAGTTCGTGGCCGCGCACTGGATCGGCTGCCTAAAGACCGCCTTTCTCGATGCCTCGCTGGGGCTGTTGCTCCTCACGCCCCTTGGAACCAACACTGCGTCGGTTGGTAAATCTGGTGAGAGTACCATTGCTGCTCTATTCATCAGACAGGGCAAACCTGGTTCGGCATTGGCATGTTGCGCTAAATGCTTCCTTATTCATTATACTTCCTCCAGAGCTGGCTACACTAGGTTGTCGCCGAATCAGCAGGTTTGTACCGTGAGCCTTTTGCTATAGGGAAAGCTTGTTTGGCTGTTTATTGTTGTGTCCCAACTGAAATAGCCAAATTCCACCTTTCTCACTTGACTGCCTTGACACTCGTATTAAACGTTTGTCGATCATCAACTCCATGACGCTGGCGATGCGATCACACCTCATGTACTGGCTGAGGAGCAACCCAAAGCACAGTTTGACAGGCCAACACATAAACATTGTTTGAAGCAGGTAACGCCTGGCTTGAAGATTCAGAACGTATGTGATGTGACATTTGACACATGAATCCCGATAGGGGGTTGTGGTTGTTTTGGAGTATGAAAGACACGGAGTTCCTGCTTATGAATCAATTTGTTTACTATGTATTGTATATAATTATATATATATATATGTTTAAACAAAGTGCATTTTTAGATCAACAAAACTTTAATGCATTTGACCAGGTCTGTGGTGAACTTCGAAGGAGCCGAGAAGCAGAACATCATTGTGGCAGAGTCGGTCCCGTGGCAAACAGGTCTTCGCGCTTTGTCATCTCAGGTTTCAGGTGACTTCCTGTGTATGCAAGATGTCAAGAAGGGTTGGGGTACGGGTACGGAGAGCTTGTCATTTGTCTACTGGCCCGCCCTTCCATGTATCTAAGTGCTTCCAGGATTGGGGTACAAGGCTGCGAGACCGAATGGCAGCACTCAATCCACAGACCAACCACAAACTATGTTGGTCCATTGCTCGAGTACCGACAGACACGTGTCTCCCGCACACATACCATACAGTGGTTCTGAGTCCTCTTTCATCAGATCTGAACCTACAACTCACCAAGCAATTCACCACATGAAGTCCACTGCGATGTATTTTGAGCCTTGCAACGTGCCATTCATCCATGCCCCAACGTCGGCTCAGTTGGGCTTTGCAATAGTGGCACTGCTCGTGCAGACCTTTGCGACGGGCTTGGTGAAAGATATCTTAGGACCAGTTGGAACCAGTTGGGATTGTTGGTTTAGGAGCGAATGACCAGATGATCCACTAAATCCATGAACTGGTATTATTGGACAAAAGCTCTCCACAAACACGGTTTAATTTGTAATTGTAATCTCCTTGTGTTTCTTCACATCTCGGAATGGAGTTCAAAGCGAGGGTTCCTGAATGACTGCAAAACGATTTGTATATTGAATTGTATTATACTAGTTACTGTACTATATATATACACAGTATTTTTGAACATATTCTTGTATTTCAATGATTTTTCATGTTTTTTGTAGTTTGGTCTTGCTAAATGAAGCAAGCGTTTCGTGTCTATGTTCTGTGTAGGACTCGAAGAGAAGGATTCGTCGTCACAGAGGCGTGGATCTCTTGGACGCATTGGCCAAAGACGAAACGGAAAAGACTTTAATATATAGAACCTAATAGCGATGGCCTTCCCCTAACTACGACATTTCCGTCTTTTCGGAGATTTCTTATGGAATGCAATGGAATGCTAACTATTTGATGCTTCACAACAGCCTATCGCAGAAGATACGGGCACTTTGATTGGGATAGAGAGATCCATGGTGCAAGTACTTTTGTGCGTAGTTTTGGCAGAGAGGCAAATCGGTTTCTCAACAGGGATGTTCCAAAGTCAGATTTATCTGAACGACTTCAGGAGCAATACTCCCAAAGCGGCTCGCTTGCAAGCAATGACAGATGCTGCTCTTAGGGACAACCTGGTGCGTGAGGTGTTCTCAAATGCTCATGCTCAAAACTCACGGTCTGGACTGATCGGGCAATGGACTTCAAGACTTCATTGGGAGTATTCCATCACATCCTAGCTGATGCTTGCGAGCCACAAAGGGGAATTACCTTTTGGATTCCACTTGAACATGATGCCGGAACAAATTTTGCCAGTTGAGAGGTGCGTTTCAGAAGCCTTTAGAGTGGTGCAAGACTTGAACGGCAAGCTCCAAGAACTTTTTGGGCACTGTTGACTTCTCTCCCCTTTGGTCCCACATGTATCACATGTTGCAGAGATCAATGCTTGAGGCAGCAGTGACAATGAGATTGATGACGTTGGTGCAGGATGTCCTGCGTCATATGAAACATCATTGCTTCAGGTGGAGGTGAAGTCTGAGGATGCGATGGAGAGCACATGAGCCATCATGAGCTGTGATCAATGGCGCTTAAGCTGTTGAATTCTTGATCAAACGCGGACTCGGTGCTCGAGCAGGCGTGAGCCAAGTGCCTCAGGGATACCCTAGGTTTGTAGGTGATCGTCAATGCATCAATGCAGCTTGACCGTCCCCTCAAGAAATTCTTGTGAAACGTAGGCGCCAACTTCCAAACGCCCCTGGGGCCTTGACGGGCCTTGCTGATTCGTTCATGGCTGCCGGATTCGTTGGCAAGGCAAGAGCCGCTCAATTTTCCCATTTGCTTCATAGAAAATGCCCGAGCGCGGGAGGGAGCAGGGTTTTCAACTGTTGCTTTTTTTGTTGTCATGCTTGCTTCTCCAAAGCGCAATTGCCCTCGTACAGGATGGTACCAAACCACAAGAGGCAAACAAGAGGAACAAAGTCCAAGGTAGCTTTGTGGGTGTGAGGAGATGCTAGATTCTGCTAGAGGGACTTTCGAATCAAAGCAGGCGGCATCGTCAGACGGTGGCCAAGGCCTTGCCTTTTGGGTTCGATTGTGGGCCGGGAGTTTGGATCTTGGGTCGTTGTTTGGTGTTGTGTTTGTCTCAATGTGGAATGCAGGTCATACATGGTCATTACCCACTCAAATAATTGAGCACAACCAAAAATAGACATATCAAGGTGCTTTGTCGTCCAAAGCACATTTGTGGATGTGACAACCCCTCGGTTTGGTCGACTGCAAAGCCATCCTCAACACGATTGTACGTTTTTCCACCTCTGAGGAGTCTGAAAAGAGCCAATGGATGGATGTAGAGGGTGGTGTTTTTTTTCTGGCATTAGTCTCGCTAAGGCTGAGCGAAGTTAGTGCTTTCTTCGGAAAAAGAACACGGTTAAACAGTGCGTATATATATATATATATGTATATATATATATATAAATGTTTCGTTGCAATCCTGGAATGTACTGTAGTGATTATCGTTGTTGTGGTCTGAAACCCTCGAAAACATGGACTGCTGAATGAGTTTCGCAGGATCACGGGTGCTCGGAGAAATGATGGTAGTGCACGTTGACATTCCTAGCCCTAGCTGTAACAAGCTGTTGGTCATGGTAGACTGTTCTGCAAAAGAGCTGACATCTCGTCAACACGCACAGATTTGCCTGGGTCAAACTTACAGACACTGAGAAGCATGGAAGTGGATATTCCATTTCATCATTGAGTTAGTTCGGAAAGATGTGGGTCCTTTTGGCATAGGCGCCGAATGCTCATTCGTCATTTGAGGCATCGCAGAGGAATGCACTGCGTCAGGCCCAGATGAAAAGTGTGGGAGAGCAACGGGTCATCTATTTTCTAGAGCAGAGGGGCGGCACACAACCATTTCGTTTGCGGAAACATATGTGCAAAGGACTATGACTATCAGTACAATTCAGTACAGCCAATTTCAATGTGTAATTTTACCTCACTGTTACAGAGCTATGCGTAAATTGAATGACCTCTTGGAACTTTTGAAGGTGGTGTTTATAAAAGCAGCAGCTCACTCGGTTGGTGTTGCTTTTTGAAAAAGGGCCTGAAAACCACACGTGTAGTTTGGCCGACCTTTCAACACTGCTTGTTTGGGGGTGGGGCCGGGGTGTGGTGTGGTCTAATGCTGTAGCTGTTTTTGCTGCACCCTCGTGTACTTTTGACGTTTTCTTTACTTGCATTTTAGTCGGCCAAAGTCCGTTGTCTTGCGTCACTTGTCTTTTTCTGGATGTGTTTCGCTTGCCTTTGGTTTCATTTTACTTTTAACGATGTCGGGGGGCTTGCGTCGTTACTGGTGATAGATACCACATACTGGGACTCGTGCCGTCGCTTGTACTTGACTTCATGATTGCTTCTTTCTTTGTTTGTGCTGAGTGGCATCATCTTCTTTTTTGCGACGTCACTGTCATGGAAAGCTCAGCCGGCTGGCAAGGCAATTTTTCCCGAATGCGTAGCGAAGGGTTCTTGTTTAACTCTGGGGGTCTGGGGGTAGAGCCGTGTTCGCGACGCGTTGTCTCAGCGTTCGCAACCGTTATCAACCGTCCGCAACCGTCTGCAACCGTCCGCATCTTTTCGCAACCGTTCGCGGTAGGGCGCTAAGGCGCTGCCATTGGGGGAAGGATTTGGAGAGGGTTTGGCATGGAAGCGTGATGTGTCAGATTCGTGTGGAATGAATAGCGAGGAATCGTGTGGAAACGTAAGATGTTGAAGCGTGGAGGATGAGTTCACTGCGCAGGTGCAGCGTTTTGTGAGATCGCACGATTTCTGCGCAGTCACATTGGGATTGGCGTTTGTAGAGTGGTGCTTTTGGGGTGTTGGATGTGGCTGTGACATTGGGATTTGCGCTCAGGGTGTTTCATCGAAGCTCTGTTTTCGTGACAAGTCTCAACGGAAATGGCGATTTTGGTGGATGGGAGTGTGCTCAGAACGGCCGAAATCATTCCAAGCGTGTGGTGTGGTGCAAATTTTGTTGAAGCTCGCATGATATGATATTGTCACTTTTCGTGGCAGGCGCAGTACTTTGTGCGGGTTTTGAGGTGTAGAAGTGCGATTTTCATGGCAGGCGCAGGGGATCGTGAGGTTGCGAGGTGTGATGGAGGTGACATTTCGTGGCAGGTGCAGTACTTTGTGCGCGTTAGACGTGTGGATACGGAAAGTTTCGTGGCAGGTGCAGGGAATCGTGAGGTTGCGAGTTGTGGTGGAGGTGAATGTCGCTGTGACATTGGGATTGGCGTGCGCGCGGGCGTTGGTTGGAGGGGCTGGAATCGCGAAACTGCTTGGCAGTGCTGCTTGATGTGTGTGTGTGTGCTCCGATGGGGGTTCCAGCTTGACTCTTGGAGGAAGTCTCGAACGAAATGCTCGTTTTGGAGACTTTGACATGTGACTTCCGGAGGAAAGTCTCGTACGAAAAGCGCGTTTTGGAGACTGGACACGCGACTTTTGGAGGAAGTCTCGTACGAAACGCTCGTTTTGCAGACTCGCGGCGTGACTTTTGGAGGAAGTCTCGTACGAAACGCTCGTTTTGCAGACTCGAAGCGTTAGTTTTTGAGGAAGTCTCGTACGAAACGCTCGTTTTGCAGACTCGAAGCGTTAGTTTTTGAGGAAGCCTCGCGCGAAGCGCTCGTTTTGGAGGATTGACGCATGAATTTCGGAGGAAGTCTCGTACGAAGCGCTCGTTTTGCAAACTCGACATGTGAGTTTTTGAGGAAATCTCGTGCGAAGCGCTTGTTCAGGAGACGTGACGGTTGACTTTTGGAGACTTTAGTAGCAGTGACTCATGTCCAAACAAGAGTGTAGTGTTTCACAAGAGTGTCGTACAAGAGTGTTCCGCAAGAGTGTCGCACAAGAGTGTCATATAAGAGTGTCCCACAAGAGAGTCCTACAAGAC